AAAGATGTGGAGGCTTTGGAAAAAGCGCAGAGAAGTGAGAACAATTAACCAGGGGAACCACTTGCCTCCAGAAGCGGTGAATGCTCCCACACTGGAAGTTTTTAAGAAGAGACTGGGCAGCCATTTGTCTGAAATGGTATAGGCTTTCCTGCCTGGGCAGGGGGTTGGACTAGATGACCTCCAAGGTTCCTTCCAACATCATCATTATATTATTATTATTATTATTATGAGCAACTAAGATGATCCAAAGCCTGGAGACGAAAACATACGAAAGACAGTTGCAGGACTTGAGTTTGACTAGTCTAAAGAAAAGAAGAAACAGGGGAGACATGATAGCAGCCTTCCAGTATCTCAGGGGCTGCCCCAAAGAAGAGGCAGTCAAGCTATTCTCCAAAGCCCCCCAAAAGGCAGGACAAGAAGCAACGGATGGAAATTAACCAAGGAGAGAAGCAACCTGGAACTAAGGAGAAACTTCCTGACAGTGAGGACCATTCCCCAGGGGAACAGCTGGCCTCCTAAAGTCGTGGCTGCTCCATCACCGGACGCTGTTTAGGAAGAGACTTGTTTGAAGTGGCACAGCCTTTCCTGGCTGAGCAGGGGGTTGGACTAGAAGACCTCCCAGGTCCCTGCCAGCTGTATTCTGATTGAACCCCTCCAAAGCTATTTGCAAAAGCCCCAGTTGAACAAAGGCCTCCATTGGCTTTGCAGGCCCCACTTCCAGGCCCCAGCTAAGGCCTTGACCCTGCTACAGATTGCTGGCTGGCTGATTCTCAACCTTGACCATTTTAAGGCATGTGGACTTCAACTCCCAGAATTCCACAGCCAGCGTTGCTGGCTGTGGAATTCTGGGAGTTGAAGTCCACATGCCTTAAAATGGTCAAGGTTGAGAAACACCGGGCTGCTGGCTGGTTGCAACCTTCAGGCCAGCCTCCCCCCCCAACTTCCCAGCCCCCAGCTCTGCTGTATAAACACCCTCTTGTTACACACTCCATCAGCTGTTTGGGCTGTTCCGCCCAGGGCTCAATTTCCGGGTAGTAACACAACAGCCAATCAGCTGTTTTCTAAGCTGAGCCCAGGGCCTTTTTTTTTTTTTTTTTTTGCCTGCAAAGACTTTTCCAAAACAAGCCAGCTCCTTCAGCACTTCCGGAATGGGGAGGGGAGGGGACCCACGGGGGGGGGGGGGGGGAAGGAAAAAAAAGGACATTCCTCCACTTAGAAACTTACAGGGCCCCGCTTCCAAACTCCCCAAAGCTCTCCTGGGAGGGGGGGAGGGAAAACCAGAAACTTGGAAAACTTATTTCTTTTTTTAAAAAAAAATTTTTTTTTGCATGCACTGACTCCCAATCGCCGTAATTAAGAAAAGCACCCAAAAGGGAAGCAGCTCCAGAAAGCGGGTGTGTGTGTGTTTGTTTCTCCACCCAATGCAAGAGACCCTAACGAAGAGGGGGAGCAGGTACTCCCACCAGTGCAGAAGTGTGAAGCACGCACAAACAGCACACACAGACGCCCCGGCTGCTTGCACAACTCTCCAAAAAAGCAGCAGCCTGGGTGACTCACCGCGGCTTCAGATCGTGCAATTTACCCAGCTGAGGTTTTCCTTTAAACATGGGACAAAGTTTTTTTTTTTTAAACCCTGATGCAGGAGGAAGAAGAGGAGGAGGAGGTTAACCAACCTCACCCTCTGGGTTGTAAGGGAAGGGTGTACGCAAGGCCTTGGCCCAGCCAGAGGCAAAAATAGGAAGGCAGTAGAGAGGGGGGGGGGAGAAAAAAACTTTAAAAAAAATCACCCCAAACTAGCAGAGAGACAGACACAGCTCCGAAGGCTGGGCCTGGCAAGCCACGTCTGTATTTCCTACCCACACCCCCGTTGTCTCTGCAAAGTCAAAATACTGGCTTGCCAGCCCAGAGTCAAGATTACAGGGCGAAAGGGCTGTAGTTTTAAAAAAAGCAGGAAGGGGTAGAACGAAACCAACCACAAAAGGAGGTGGAAAACAGGTCGCTGTTCTCCCTGGGAGCCCCCAGGAGAACAAGAGGATGGCCAATATTATGCAGAAATTAAGTGGATTTAGGAAAGGAGCCTGACTGGGATCAAAATCAACGACACTGCCTAAACCTGGTTAGATTCGGGCCCGGTTGCAGGAGCCAAGGCCTGCGCAAACCTTAAAACTAGACCGCCAGAAAAAGTGAACCAGGCAAGCCACAGACAACAAAAGAGATCTATTTTGTCGTTCCACAGACACAAAAACTTGCAGACCCAGGACAAATGGGCCATGCTCACTTAAAATACCAAGGATTATAATCAGAGGCCTGGTCGGAGAGCTTTTTCCCAAAGAATCTCTATGGTTCTTTTGTTGAACAGAAAAGGCCAGCAGCTAATAGAGCGAGAACGCCAGGCTATTTTTCCCTTTTTTGTTTTGTTTTTTCCCTTCCTCCTATCCACCGTTGAATTAAGTAGCGACCACACCACCGATATGCCACATGAAATCTCACGTATACATATTTAACAGTGCCTATTCTTTTGTCTCCAAAAAAGAAAAAAAAGCAAGGAAAAAAAAAAGCTCACTGTGATCTTTTAACATAACAAGCCACAAAGTGAACGGGGGGGGGGGGAGAGATCGGTAGATGAGAGAAAGACGAGGGGTGCAGTGGGGCCTCGTCCCCCCCCTCCCAGAACCTAGCCGCCTTTTCAAAAAATTTAGATATAATGAGAATTTTTGTCACCGAACAGCTGGAGTTCTAAGCCTTCTTCTCCCCAACCAGCAGAAATTAACCATCCAATGCAATTTGTTATTTGAGGGAGGACATGCATATGCAATTCCAGGATAAAAATAGCTTTGATTCCAGAGCAATCACTAGCCACTTCCTATCGATTAAAAAACACTTTTTTAAAAAGGGAGGTCGAGGCACGTTCATCAAAGCAACCGGTTTGTGTTTTGTTTCAAACCAAACACCGAAAAGCTAAAAAAAAAAAAAAAAACAAACCATCACGCACGGCCATAAAAATAACAATTTGACCCCAGCAAACCCCAATCTAAATAAGTTTGTTTTACCCTAAATGCTATTTGTAAACACCCCCCTCCCCTTTTACATACCTAATTCCTTCACGATTAAATTCTCCAGGGAGAGGTTAACACGTTCAATAAACATCTCCGAGTAGTGCATTTGGGCCCAGGACTCTCTTGTCAATTGCAACCAATCTGTCTTTCCCTCCCCACCAACTGATAAACAGGACAATTAACACAACAATTCTATAAACCAACATAATAATTCAGCAGTTTCCCCCCCCACACACACACCATATCCAAACACACCACGGTCGAATCTGATTAGGCCAAGAACGAAATAGGAAAAAAGAAATCCAGATTCTTTAGAAAGAAGTCTACAGCAAAGTGTTACATAAACAAAAAAAAAACAGCAGCAGGACGAGGGGAGGAAAGGGGCTGAGTGGGTTTGGCATCCTTTCCTGGTTTAACCATGGCTAGTCTAGGCCCACTAACCAGGTTTAATTTCTAATATCCCCCCCCCCTTTTTTTCTACCGGTATCAGAAGCTTCCCGACCAGCAGCCTAGAACTAAATTAAGGAATTAGTAAAAGACGTGGATCATCCGATTGTAACTGTCAACAACCTGACCCCCCCTCAAAAAACCTGGTTGTCCCCAACTAATTCTGGCCTGTAGCCACCCCTCCTCAATCAGGCTAGATTCAAACTAGCTGTTGAGGGTAGAAGCTGCTGGAGGGAGCAGAGTATTATTATATTAACGATATTATTATGAAATGGATAAGTTATGCTATCCCAAAAAATAGCTATTGAAAAACTGGCAGAAAAAAAATTAAATAAGACCAGCTTCTTTGCTTTTCCTCCATCCATCCTGGGTTGTCGAATCGCAGATAAATTCTTTGGCAATGCCTCCAGGATACAGAGGACAATAAAATGTCCCCCAGCCCCAAAGAGGCTGTGCAATAAGGAGAATTGTGATTTTTCTCACCGTCCCCAAGGTGGTGTCTATAGGGAGAAACCCGTGTTAGGGGGTGGGGGGGGGCAGCTCCTGGCTGGGGAAGGTGAGGATAGGTGGGGGGGGCATTATTTGCTCATTTGTGAGGAGGAGGGGGTTTACACCTCAGCAATTTCCAGGGAAATAGAGGGGGGGGGGGAAAGGGGAGAAGGGAAGGAGCGAAAAATACAATAAAATGATCTCTCTCTTTGCAGGCCAAGCCAAGAAATGGTGTTGTTGACACTTTTAGAGGAGGGAAAATGTCTCCTGTTTGGGGCTGGGGAGGGGGAAAGATAGGGTTCAAGCCCTGTTAAAGGGGGAAATAGGAAGGTTCCCCCCTCCAATTGGGGGTTTATTTGGGGAGGGGGGCTTCCCAGAGGGGCCGGCCGTGCCTCTTGGGAGGACTTGAGGCCTGGTGGGTTTAACCCTGAAACGGATCTTCCTGAAGGAATTGAGAGAGGGGGGGGGCTCCCCTTTCTCTCCTTCAAAGAATTCCTCCTGGGGGGGGGAATGCCTTAAGAGGGGGACCCCTCCCCCTTTTTAAAAAGGGGGGGCAAAGAAAAGCCCCTCCCCTGCTTCCAGCTCTCTGCTGCCTCCCTTCACAGCTGACCCCTTCCTTCCCCAACACCCCCCCTGCTTTGCAAACCTGGGACCCTTGTCCCACCCCCCCCACCCAATTTGGCAGCCCCCCTCCCCTTGCAAAGGGGATGGTTCTCCCCTCTTTGCGGGGGGGGGGCAAAGGCAGGAGTTTGGCTATTGGGGAGGGGGAGGCAGGCTCCTTTGGGGGGGGCGGGTCCAGGGCTTTCCATTCATCCCCCCCTCCCCAAAATAAAGGTCTCCTGGACCACCCCCCCCTCCCTCCCTTTCACTGCTTCTGCAAGGGGTCGTTCCCCAGTTGCCCCCCCCAAAAAAAAACTCAGAGCCGCGGGGGGGGGCAAGGGAGACCCCCCTCCTTGTCCTCCCCCCCCACACACACACAGCCCCCTCCCCCCCCTCCAGGAAGGATACAGCTTGACCACGTCGGTGTCCATCCGCCTCTTGCCCGGGCTGGGGGAGGACATGGTGCCCCCCCGGCCGGCGGCCCCTCCCGGGCGGAGTCTCGAGCGGCGGCTGCCTCGCTCGGCCTGTCAGGACCCCTCGGCGCGCGGGGACTGGGGGGGGGGACGCTTCGGCGGGGAGGGGGCCCGCGGTGCGCCTGCGCGGAGGCCTCCCTCGCGGCCCCTCCCTCCCTCTCTTCGCGAGCCGGCTCTTCCTGCCCCGCGGCTGCCCCCCCCCCTCCGCTGCCGCCGCTCGGTTCTTCTTCCTCCTCCTCCTCCTCCTCGGCCGCCGCTTCCTGCGCCCGCCCGCTCCCCAATCGCCGCTTCTGCCTCTGTCGCTCTCTCGGCCGCTCGGTCGGCTCTGCCAAAGCCTCTCGCTTGGGCTCCTGACGTCACCCACAGTGACCTCACCGCCCGGGGCTCGCCTCATTGGGCGGCGGGGAGCCCCGCCCTCCTCCGGGCGGAGGCTTCTCCCCCGCCAGGCATGCCGGGAGAGGTAGTTCCGAGGCTGCTGCCACTGCTCTGGCTGTGGCTCGGGCCTGGCGCCTCTCCCTTGGGAGGCGGGTTCCAATCCAGCTGGTCCTCGACTTGGGACCTCCGTGGGGCCCGAATTTTCTGTCACTAAGCCAGTGTTTCCCAAACTTGACCATTTTAAGGCATGAGGACTTCAACTCCCAGAATTCCACAGCCAGCAATGCTGGCTGTGGAATTCTGGGAGTTGAAGTCCACATGCCTTAAAATGGTCAAGTTTGGGAAACACTGCACTAAGCGAAACATTTTTGGTGTTTTGGCCCATTTTACCACCTGGCTTGCCGGGGTTGCGAAGGGAGTCGCGGTAGGGGTTCAGTTAGCGACACCGTCGTTAAGCGAATCCGGCTTCCCCCCCACTGACTTGGATGCAAAAGGGGATCCCGTGACCCCGGGAACGGCGCGACCGTCATAAATACGAGTCCGTGGTCAAGCGTCCGGATGTAAATCACATGACCAGGGGGAGGCCGCGACGGTCATAAGTGTGAAAAACGGTCCTTTTTTTCAGTGTGGTCGTAACTTGGAACGGTCGCTAAATGATCTGTAGTAAATCAAGGACTTGCCTGTATGCCCCTCAGCATCTTTATTTTTATTTTTTTTTTGAGGCGAAGCTTCTTTAATTCCTTTTACTAACTTCCTGCTCCAACCACGGATTGCGTTTGGACTCAGCCCTCCGCCATGAGTTAACTACCAGCCAGTTCCTCTAGGCATGTGCAGAGTGCCTAGGACTTGGCAAGAGGGGGGAAATCCATCCCAAGGTGGGCTCTGGGATTGCCCGGCCCATCAGCCTCATCGTGTCTTAAAACCTCACGATTTGAGTTTTTGCAGGCAGGCAACAGGGCCTCTGAGCATACCAAGAGTGCCGGTCTTTTCCTGAGAAAGAAGACACCTTCTTCCGAGGTGGAATAAAGGAGCAGAGGTCCCTTATTGGGCAACTAGGCTCAGTCCAGGGGGCAGACCAGCTGACCAACATCAAAGTGGCTTTTGCAAAAAGACCCGTTTTGGGGATCACACAACCGATTGCGCCTTGGTGTATCCCCTAACTGCAAAATGCAAAAGCTGAGCAGGGCAAATGCTTGGTTACCCCAACACCTTTCCGATCAATTGCCCAGGGATTTCAGTGCACTGTAACACACACACACACGCACACACAGAAGTATTTTGCATTTGGGTTGAACCTCCAGTGGGCACCGCCTGGCCCTTTGGGGGCAGGGCGAAAGTGCCAATCTGGCATTCGAGGTCTTCTGTCCTCAGCCACTCAATACATGGGGACCCCAAGACCCTCTCCCCAAAATGTTGGCTTTCTTTCATGGGGTTTCATTCCTCCAACTGCTCAAGATACCAGCTACCCCCCTCCCCCAAATTGGCCCTGTCAGTCAGGAGAGTCAGCCACGCAGGGTCAAAAAAGATGGCAACAGCACCAACATGACAGAAGCTCCACCTGTTTTTTGCCTAGAATAGAATAGAATAGAATAGAATAGAATAGAATAGAATAGAATAGAATAGAATAGAATAGAATAGAAGCTGGAAGGGACCTTGGAGGTCTTCTAGTCCAACCCCCTGCTGAATAGAATAGAATAGAATAGAATAGAATAGAATAGAATAGAATAGAATAGAATAGAATAGAAAATGGAATAGAATAGAATAGAATAGAATAGAATAGAATAGAATAGAATAGAATAGAATAACAGAGTTGGAAGGGACCTTGGAGGTCTTCTAGTCTAACCCCCTGCTTAAACAGGAAACCCTATACCATTTCATACAAATAGTTGTCCAATCTCTTCTTAAAAACCTCCAGTGTTGGAACATCCACAACTTCTGGAGGCAGGTTGTTCCACTGGTTAATTGTCCTCACTCTTAGGAAATTTCTCTTTAGTTCCAGGTTGCTTCTCCTCTTGATTAGTTTCCATCCGTTGCTTCTTGTCCTGCCTTCTGGTGCTTTGGAGAATAAGTTGACCCCCTCTTCTTTGTGGCAGCCCCTCAAATATTGGGTGACTACTATGTCACCCCTATTCCATTTCTCTAGACTGACCGTGCCCGATTCCTGACACCGTTCTTCGTATGTTTTTGTCTCCAACCCCTTAATCATTTTAGTTGCTCTTCTTTGCACTCCCCCCCCCAAAAAAATTTCAACATCTCTTTTGTAATGTGGGGAGCAAAACTGGATGCAGCATTCCATGTGTGGCCTTATTAAGGATTTATAAAGCGGTACTAATATTAGAAAATCTGAGCAACAACAAAGCTGGTGGAGGTGACAGTATTCCAGCTGAGCTATTCAAAATCTTAAAAGACGATGCAGTAAAAGTGCTACACTCAATTTGCCAGCAAATTTGGAAAACTCAACAGTGGCCACAGGATTGGAAAAGGTCAGTTTACATTCCAATTCCAAAGAAAGGCAATGCCAAAGAATGTTCAAACTATCGCACCATTGCACTCATTTCACATGCTAGTAAAGTTATTCTTAAAATCCTACAAGCTAGACTCCAGCAGTATGTGGATCGAGAACTACCAGAATTACAGGCAGGATTTCGAAGAGGCAGAGGAACTAGAGATCAAATTGCCAACATACGCTGGATCATGGAGAAAGCTAGGGAGTTTCAGAAAAACATCTACTTCTGCTTCATTGACTATGCAAAAGCCTTTGATTGTGTGGATCACAACAAATTGTGGCAAGTTCTTAAAGAGATGGGAGTACCAGACCATCTCATGTGTCTCTTGAGAAACTTATATGCGGGTCAAGAAGCAACAGTGAGAACTGGACACGGAACCACTGATTGGTTCAAAATTGGAAAAGGAGTCCGGCAAGGCTGTATACTGTCACCCTGCCTATTTAACTTATATGCAGAGCACATCATGAGAAAGTCAGGGCTAGATGAATCAAAAGTTGGAATTAAGATTGCCGGGAGAAATATCAACAACCTAAGATATGCAGATTATACCACTCTAATGGCAGAAAGTGAAGAGGAACTAAAGAGCCTCTTGATGTGGGTGAAGAAGGAGAGTGCAAAAGTTGGCTTGAAACTCAACATTAAGAAAACCAAAATCATGGCATCCGGCCCTCTCAATTCCTGGCAAATAGATGGGGAAGAAATGGAGGTAGTGACAGATTTTATTTTTCTGGGCTCAAAGATCACCTCAGATTGGGACTGCAGCCAAGAAATTAAAAGACGCTTGCTCCTGGGGAGGAAAGCTATGGCAAATCTAGACAACATTCTAAAAAGCAGAGACATCACCCTGCCAACAAAAGTGCGTATAGTCCAGGCCATGGTTTTCCCAGTTGCAATGTATGGCTGTGAAAGTTGGACCATAAGAAAGGCTGAGCGCCAAAGAATTGAGGCCTTTGAACTATGGGGCTGGAGAAGACTCCTGCGAGTCCCTTGGACTGCAAGGCGTTCAAACCGGTCAGTCCTAGAAGAGATCAACCCCGACTGCTCTTTAGAAGGCCAGATCCTGAAGTTGAAACTCAAATACTTTGGCCACCTAATGAGAAGGACTCACTGGAGAAGGGCCTAATGCTGGGAAAGATTGAGGGCAATAGAAGAATGGGACGACAGAGAATGAGATGGTTGGATGGAGTCACTGAAGCAGTAGGTGAGAACTTAAATGAACTCCAGAAGATGGTAGAGGACAGGAAGACCTGGAGGAACGTTGTCCATGAGGTCGCGATGGGTCGGACACGACTTCGCAATTAACAACAACAACAACACTAATATTTCACATGATTTTGATTCTATGCCTCTGTTTATACAACCCAGGATTGTATTAGCTGTTTTGGCTGCTGCCGCACACTCCTGGCTCATGTTTAAGTGATTGTCCACTAAGAATCCAAATTCCCTCTCCCAGTTGGTGTTTTTGAGCCAGATCTTGCCTAATCTATACTTATACCTTTGGTTTTTCCTGCCTAGCTGTAAAACCTTGCTTTTCTCCACATTAAATTCCATCTTGCTGGATGTTCTCAAAGTGGCTCACAATGAACAAAGGATAAAATATAAGCAGGAAATTAAGGCAGTACAAAAATTACATAATTTAGAAAGCACCGGCGGAAAAATAAAATTAAGATAATTCCTTGGGCATTTTACCAACCTGAATCAAAAAATCTCCAGCAGGAATTGGATATGGCCAGTCTAGACAAAAGAAGGACTAGGGGGGACATGATAGCAGGGTTCCAGGATTTGAGGGGCTGACACAAAGAGGGGTGTCACCCTATTTTCCAAAGCACCAGAAGGCAGAAGAATGGATGGAAACCAATCAAGGAGAGAAGCAACCTGGAATTAAGGAGAAACTTCCTAAACAGTGAGGACAATTACCCAGTGGAACAGCTTGCCTCCAGAAGTTGTGGGTACTCCATCACTGGAGGTTTTTAAGAGGAGACTGAAATGGCATATAGGGTCTCCTGCTTGAGCAGGGGGTTGGACTAGAAGACCTCCAAGGTCCCTTCCAGCTATATTATGATTGATTGAGAGATGCTGGGAATATCTGACTCAATCTCTTTTGACAATGCAGACATTTAGCAAGAGAGTGTAAGGAAGGCAAACTGGTTTAAATAAAAAGATATCTTATTAAAATCGTAACAGCAACACCTGCCTGAATCTTAAACACTTGCAAACACCATGTGAACAAGGTTTGCTTATGAG